AGCTGGAAGATGCTGTAGATGAGGGGGAAGGCAAACATGATTTCCAGCTGCTCTGGGCTGAAGGACAGTTGGACGATAGTGCTGCACAACTGGGAATTCTGGAAACCTGTCTCCAGTGCAATGGTTCGACATCTGAACAAATAAAGGAACGATGACGAACCTCATCAATAAGTCAAATTTTAAATGTAGCGGTGTCAGAAACATTTTGCTGTCACCTCACCTGTACCAGGGTTGACCCACAAAGCGAGCCAGGAAGAACCCAAGGCTGCATCCAATAAAGGGGTAGATGGTGCCAATTATCCACAGGGAGAGAGAAATGGTCCAGGACGACTGGTAGAGGACTCCTCCAACCACAGCTATAATGATAATGAGAACCAAGCCAGCAATGGATCCCACCTGTTCACAACATAAACACTCCATTAAAACCCAGTCCAGGTGATTCAACTGGTTGGCCACTATAGAATGGAAATATCACATCCCCCCAGTATGTATGATGGAAATGCTATTTCTAAAAAGAAACATGTCACACAGGCACAAGATGTTATAAGTGAAAACATTAAACCTGTAGAATTATATTCAATAAACTGTAGAGTATTCCTACCTTCAGGATCTTTTTTGCCATCTCAGGCCACCTGTGCTTTACGTACATTCCCACAGTAATCGGGATGATTAGGGCTGCCAGAGTGATACCTGATGATGCAAAATAGTAGATTATAAAAAGGTTACCTTAGAGCAGTGGTTCTCAAACTTATTACATCAATTCCCACATGGCAGGAAGAAATATTTTCATTTCCGATCTAAACAAAACAATGACAGAAAATCCTACCTGCAACTTTATTTAGATGATAAACTCATTCAAAATGAATCCTTCAGTAATTTGTGTTTTAAAACAACTTTCATTTCAAATTACTATTTGTAACTTTTGTCACTAGACTGCTTCATTAGTCTGCACCACTTCTTCAAAAAAGCAACAAGTTAAACAGAATGTGAACATTATCAGACATGGAAAGTTCAGTCTGTTCAGTCTTAGTTTAAAAAAAAGAAATCCAGAAACTTGTGAACAGAGATGAAAAATATATAATTTAAAT